GAAATTTAAATGTCATAATGGATCAAATCTCTGTTTCACCTAGATTTCTGGCTACCATTTATTTGAGCTGGTCCTAGACAAAACCTTCATGAATGCCCTTGTTCCTTCTGTGTGGTACCACTTTTCCTAGAACTACAGAGTCTTTGAAATCTCTCCTCCCCTATTTTAGAACTATTGTCATCTACAAGCTGAAAATTCAAGGTTTGATTCACACTATATTCTAATGGTATGCCACTTAAAAGGGAGTCCCTACTATGAAACAAAAAAGGTGGAACTTCAGGCATCAGTGACAAATTAATTGGGGAGATATTGAGGCAAGGCCTTTGCACCCTTTTTCAAATCAACTGGCAGGTATCTACTTGTCTCTCTATGGGTAAAGTGATGGCCCTTAGAGATTAGAAATTGGGAGCTACCACTTTAAGATACCCCTAAAGTGAAAGTCACTGAATACTCTAAAATATAATAGGTCTCTTTCACTGATTAGTCTAAGTCAGATTTTGTACTTCCCATCTACCAGTATTAATATATTTAATCCTTTTAACAACTCAGCAAGATAGGTACTATTATTATTCTTCACCATTTCACAAAGGAGGCATACAAGATTTAAAAACTTATCTAAGGTCACACAGTTATTAAGTGGCAAAGCCACCAGGATTTGAACGGAGCAGTCTGGCTTGGAGCACTTGCTCCTGACCTCTACACTGTCTGGCTGACCATTTTGCCCTAGTTAGCTCATGCTGCTAACCTCACGGACGTTTGACCTTCCCCTTTTTCTTCTCCACTGCCCATACTTCCATTATTCCACTTACCAGGTGACAGATTTTCATGAACCCATTTTATCTCCACGTATAGAGTGAAAACAAATGGATATGGAACCAAGACGAGTTCCCCATGTTTGAATTTCAGGTGAGACACTCTCTCCCACTTGCTTTTATCTGGGACATGGTGCTAAGGATTGAGGAAAGAAATCAGTACAAATCCCTGAGTACTGTTTTAGGGATAAGACACTTTCTCCTTTCTCTGACCTACCCTCCAAACTGTGTTTGGGTTTGCTCCTTCCATCTGAATCTACGATGTGAGTTGTAGCTCATTCCTAGTCAGAAATGAAAGGATACAGGGAAATACAACGAAGTGTTCTGTAGCAAACGGTTGCAGATTGTCCAAGTTTCCCAAGACCACACGAATAGAATCCTGAAAAAAATATTTGAAATGACTTTAATCCTGTCTAGTCTCAGCCAATCTTTCCATTTATACATGTCACTGTTTTTCATATATCCTATATTCTTCTATTAAAGCTGAACTATTTACTGTTCCCTGAACATGCCTTCTTCTCTATTTCTATGCTCTTGCATAGTCTGTTTCCTCTGCCTGAAATGCCCTTTCCACCCATTAGCATATTTTACCTATCCTGTAAGGCAGGCGTTCCCAACCTGTCCTGGTACCAGTCTGTGGCCTGTTAGGAACCAGGCTGCACAGCAGGAGGTGAGCAAAGCTTCATCTGTATTTGCAGCCGTTCCCCAGTGCTAGCATCACCACCTCAGCTCCACCTCCGATCATCAGGCATTAGACTCTCATTTGGCTAGTTTCTGGTGCCAAAAAATTTGGGGACCACTGCTGTAAGGTATAGTTCAAAAGCCATCTCTTTCAGAAAAATTTCTTTGATTCTCCAAGTTGTAATTAATGGTTAGTCTCAACTTCACAGTGTTAGCTTTGAGCCTTCACTACGTTCTACATGAGTTGTGAAGTTTTATTTTTCTTACTGCAAAAGCTTCTTGAGGTAGAATATATATCTGATTTATTTTAGTATCCCTTCTATGGTGTCTACCATAATGGATGATGCGTAACAGGTCTCCAATAAACATATATTGAATGAATGAGTAATACTGGTATTTACTGATAGCTATTTTGCCTTTTCTTAAATCAAACCTTTTCTTTTACTCTTTTTAAATCTAAATTGATTAATCTCTAATTAACTTATGCTTATTAGTGTATACTAATTAAATGATATGGTATTATAAAAAGACTACTGGATTTCTATGGGAAAATCAGAATTTCAATCCTAGCGTCATTTCCTCTAAGCTTCATTTTCCTAATATTTAGGCTCAATGAAGGCAATAACTGTGTCTTGTTTATCTTTGTATTCTCTGTACTAGCATAGTATCTAGTTTATAATTTTAATAGTTAATATTTATTGAGTAATCACTATGACAAGAATTATTGTTTTGATACATGTTAATTAATTTAACACTCACAAAAACCCTATGAGATCGATAATGCTATTATCTCCATCTTACAGATGAGGAAACTGAGACAAAGAAAGGTGAAATAATTTATTCGAGGTAACATAGCTAGTAACAGTGGAGCCAAGATATGAACCCAGGCAGTGGGGTTCCAGAGCTGACATTCTTAACAATTAGGCTATACTGTCTATCAAAAAATGTTTTATTTTTTTAACATTTTATTTATTTTTTTCCCACTCCCCCTCCCCTCTGGTAACAAAAAAATGTTTTATAAATGAAAGAGAATAATGACTGCCTCAAAAATAATGAAAGAAAAAGAACATATAAAAAGTACTTCGAAAACTTCAATATGATTATAAATATATATAAATGCTCTCTAGCTATCATTTATTGAGCTACTGTGTGGCAGGCATTGCACACATCTATTTCTAATCCTCACTACTATCTTCAAACACAGGCATTATTTATCAACCTCATTGATAGGTAAAGAAACAGACTCAGAGAAGGCAGGCCACTTGCCCAAAGCCATTTTGTGAAGGCGGAACGAGAATTCAAATCCAAGTTTGACTGGCCTTAAAGTCTATGCTCGCTCCACTTTACTATGCTGCCTTGAGCTTTTCTCTGCCCAAATTAACTGAAGCAAAGTAAAATAAATTCTGCTCTACTCACAATTAAAATAAGCAGAAAATTATCATGATCCTATATTGTCATTTACAATGATGTCTCTGCAAGATCCTAATGTACGTTTCAACACTTAGCCAAAGAGCCACAGGTACCCTTAAGGATATGATTCAAATTTTTGGTTTCATAGTTTTGTGTTTGTGTATTTAATTGTGTTTGCATTCTTAGAAGTGTGGTAGCATTATGTCTTCATAAATCACAATAGTCATAAATCACTGAGTTGTGAAGTTCAAAGAGAATAAGCTAGTTTGATATTTATTTATGAACGAGGCAATTAAGACCCAGAGAGATAAATGATTTGCTGAAGGTCGCACAGCTAATTAGTGGCTCAGGCAGGACTGGAATCCAGGGCCCTAATCCCAGAACTCTAATCCCTTGCCCAGTGCTTTTACGGATTTACAAAAATCCACCTGCTCAGTTTTCTTTCTGTGAGAAGACCTAAAGCTAAAGGAGCTGAGTAGAAAAGGAATGAAAATGAAGTGGGAAGAAAGCAATTGCAAATGTTTCCAATTAAAATGAAAACAGCAGCCTTGTCTGTGTATTTACAATTGAGTTTCCTGAACGTCAAGTACCAGGCAGTGGTTGAAGTGATGAGGTTTCCCAGAGCCCTGGAGGGCCGCATTCCCTCCCAGTCCTCCGGAAGCTTTCTCCATGCCAGCTGCCACAAAAGAGAGCTTCCCATGGCTGGGAACTCTGGTAGAAACAAAATAACTCTCAGCCTCAAAGGTGCTGACACTTCAACTAGGAAAACTGAGAAAGGATACAGGCTTTAATTTCCCTGGAAATTGGTAAAATTTCTTTGCAGAGGAAATGTGGCAGGGAAAAGCCAAGTAATCAAGTGGACGTTGTGACTCGGTTGGTGAGAAATAATTAAAATGTG